CACGTTCTCTGCTTCTAAAATTAAAGATAAATAACACCAGCCCAGTTTCCTTTTTTAATTTTTTTTTAAGGGAAATTTGTTCCTGTTATCAGAATTGCTGCACATGGGATATTAATTGGAATCTTGTTGCTGGGTCATTTTCATTGTTTTTCAAGTACTGTCCAAGAAAATGTATGAAAACTAAATTACAGCCCCACGTTGGCCGTGTGATTGAATCCTCCTCACGGCCTGAACATCCTATTAAAATATTCAATCTTGTTTTCTTACTTGAAGAGCCTGTCTGTAGAGGGCAAACTTATAGAAACCCTCATTCTCTGGAGATCCAATATCAAGGCACACTGGAATATTTCCATATTTCTGCCCTGCCTGGGATTGGGCTCACACCACTCCCCCCCTCTGCCTGTATTTATTAATATAATAAATAACAATATAATAATAATAATAATAATAATAATAATAATAATAATAATAATAATAATAATAATAAATATATAGATAATAATAAAATAATAAAATATTCTCAAATGCATTTTTAATTACACCAGGCCTTTGCTACTGAAGGAGTGGAGGGTTTGTGGCACTTTTTTGGTTCCATTTTCACCTTGGAAAGTGACTTTTCCCTCTCCCCTTTTTTCCCCAGGACGGAGCTGTTCCGGTCGCTGTTTGGAAAGGTCACAAAGGGGGAAGAAGCAGAGCAGAATTAGGGGCTGGATTGAGCTCCTGGTATCACAAAGGGGGAAGAAGCAGAGCAGAATTAGGAGCTGGGACTGAGCTCCTGTGTTCTCCTGCTGCTGCTGCCCTCAGCTGCTCCCTCTGGCTGCCCAGGAGCAGAATCTGTGCTCAGAATGACCCCAAGATGCCTTAGAAAGTCTCTTGTTCCCAGCCTGGCAGTGGAAGAAGGAGTCAGAATTCTTCTGTTCTGGTTTTCAAGGTTGTTTATTTTTCTGTTATCTATAAAATTCTTTCCCTGGCCTGCTGAGGTCTGTCCAGCAGGTCAGACAGAGGCACTCTGACTGCCCTGAGGGTGGCATTGTCTTTTATACTAAGAACTATGTGTATTTTATTTACAATAATTTTCCAATAACATTATTTACAGTAATTTTCCAATACCTATCACCTGTGTTAGGCAGTGTGTTCCTACCTTAAACCAATCCAAAAGTGCCACCATCACCCAGAAGATGGAGGCCAGGAAAAAGCAGCAAGAAGGACAAAACACTCCCAAATTCCTCCATCTTGGGACCCAGAGCCCCCATTCTAAAACCCCAAAATTCTACTTTTTCACCCTGTGACAAACTAACTATTATTCTGCTTAAACTCTCCTGACTTGCAATTCTTCACCTAAAGGTGGTGATTTGCTCCATGGGTCAGAATCCAAGGCACAGGGGTCCTGGGCTGTGTGCCCAGGGCTCTGAGCCCCCTGGCAGGGCTGCAGCCATGCAGGGCAGCCCAGGAGCAGAGCCAGCTCTCTGCAGCCTCTCTTTGTCCCTGAAACCCTTTGGAAGGAGGTTTTTCCCTTCCCTTTCTGGCTGTGATGTTAAAGGGTAACACGAAGCACTTTCCATGTGATAACTTCTCGGTATTGTTGGAGGAGATAAGAGCCCGAGCCGCGCTTTGGAATTCACTTATCAGCGTTCCAGCAGCCTCTGCCATCCCATCCCTGCCTCCACCTGGGCTGGGGACACCACGGGGACAGAGGGACAGGCAGGGACAGAGGGACAGAGAGGAACAGGCAGGGACAGAGAGGGACAGAGAGGGACGGGCGGCCCCGCTGCAGCGCTGACCTTGCTGCAGGGGCAGCACTGGCTCGGCAGGAAAAGGGATTCACACAGGGCCTGGTGTGCAGTGCTGCAGGAAAAGGACAGGAAAAGGGATTCACACAGGGCCTGGTGTGGGGATGCTGCAGGAAAAGGGCAGGAAAAGGACAGGAAAAGGGACTCACACAGGGCCTGGTGTGCAGTGCTGCAGGAAAAGGGCAGGAAAAGGGATTCACACAGGGCCTGGTGTGGGGATGCTGCAGGAAAAGGGATTCACACAGGGCCTGGTGTGGGGATGCTGCAGGAACAGGGGCCCTGCCTGGTGTGCAGTGCTGCAGGAAAAGGGCAGGAAAAGCCCGAGGGGCTCTGGCATGGTGGTGGGACAGCAGGAGCAGGGGGACAGCACCTCCCCAAAAAATCCAACAGGTTTGTTGGGAGCTGCTTTACCCCCAGTGTTGCCAGGTGATGGTGCCCAGCACGGGCACAGCTCCCTGGGCACACAGGAAGGACCAGGGCGATTTCCACCAAGTTTCCCTCATGCTGCCAATTTAACAGCAACTGAGATCTTCCCTTTCCCGCCCCCCCCACAACAGAATATTAATTCTTTATTAATTCATGATCCAGCTGCTAATTAGTACCTCCACAAATGGGCATTGCACCTTAGCAGAGCACTCGGAGGTGTTTTGGGGACTGGGCTGTGCAGAGGGAGGGACAGAGGGTTGTGTTTAATCCTCTCCCCCCAACCCCGCCACAGCGAAGAATTTCAACTTTCAGACAAACAACTTCATTTACAAGTGTGTCTCTAATTAGCTGCAGAATTAGTAAAGCAGAGTTTTCCCCCCATAGATCGGCCAAAGCCCCGGGGGAGGCTCTGGAATGGAGAGAATCGCATTTCCAATTATTTTGTTGAATTGCTAATTTAGTTATTGTGCCTGGCGTAATTGTGATGGGTATTGGGTGTGCAATTCAATTTGTTTTAAATATTTGTGGGAAGGCTGATCAGTAATGGAGCTGACCTATTTCATGGCCCAAATTGAGAGAAGAGACTAAAACAAAAAACAGCTACAAAGCCCCAGTTTGTCTCAGTTTTTATTTTGATGTCTCTCATCCCTCTTAAGACTGTTGATGCAACAAAAGGTTTACATTAAAAGATGATGGCACTTTGATCTTGGGCTTTGGAGAGCTTACAGCTTTGGTATGTCTTTTCTTGGCATTTTAATATGGAGATATTTTAGGCTAAAGAGTTTTAAATGTGATGCTGGAGTTCAGTAGGGTCTGTCCCCTCACCACCCCCCAGATTTTAACTGTCGTGATTCTGGTTTGAGAAATGTGAAAAATCAACTGCTGGGGTTGTGGTGGCTCATGGGAGCACATTTAAATCTCAGCTTTCATGGGGACACCTCCAAAGGGTGTTTGTGGATCAGCTCCCAGGGACCTTTAACCAAAGTCCTGCTGGGCCTTTCCTACTGAGCAGGGCACAGAATGAGGCTGGAAAAGGTCTCCAAGATCATCCAGTCCAGCCATCCCTGCCCACAAAACAGCCGTGGAAGAGGGTCCCAGAGTTCTCCCACCTCAGCAGCAGTCACTGGGGTTCGGGGTTTTTTCCCTGTCTGTCCCATGGGCTGTGGTGTTGAAGATGACAATGGAGGATGGGAATGGGGAGTGGCCACCACCAGGCTTGGGGACACCTGGGGGGACCCGGGATGGGCTGGGACCCCACAGAACCCAACCCTCTCTGCAGTCCTGGCCTCAGGCAAAGCTCAGCTCCCCCAGGCCAGGGTGACAGATTGCACTGGCAGCAGCAGCAGCTCTGTAATTCATTCTTTTTATTAAAAGAAATTGAGGTAAGTGAAATTCTTCAGCACCAGCGAGAACCGTTCGTACCCAGGGGCTCCCCCCACCCGGTGACCCCCCACACCCCTGGGGACACCCCAGGTGCTGCTGCCACAGGGCCCAGCAGGCCCAGAGCCCCCGGGGCACTGCCAGACCCCGGTGTCACCCAACAGATTTTTCTGGAGCTGCTTCACCCCCAGATGAAGCGAGGCCCGAGCCGGTGCTGTAACACTGAAATGGGGGGGCTGTGGCAGGGTGGGCACGGGGACCCCTCCCACTGCACCTGCAGATGTCCTGGGAAAGGGACTCTGGTGACACCACCATGGGGACAGGGAGGACCCCAGAGTCCCGGTCCTGCCTGGCTGACACATTCTCTGTCTGTGTGTCCTGCTGCAGCCCACCCTGGCGTAAGCAAAAGCATCTTTGGGGCTTGTTCAGGGGGCTCTAGTGGAAAAAAAATCTCTTAAATCAAATTAGGGTTCTTAACTATTAAGAAAAAGCAAATCCTGCAGGTGGCCGAGCTCTGCTGGCCACGGGCAGGGGAGCAGCGACCCCGGGCTGGCACCTCCAGTCACTGGCAGCACAGGCAGAAGGGCTGCATTGCACTTCAGGAGGAAACAGGGACAGGTGAGAGGCACTGGCAGCATCATTGATTAATTCTCTCCTCAAACAGCCCTCCTGATGTACCACACTTCTGACCTACAGCCCTTCCTGCTGGGCTAAAGGAGGGGCTGTAAAATCTGAAATTCCTCCAGGACCATCACTGGTGAGCCCGGGAGAGCCCAGCCCCAGCCCCGTGCTGGAGCTGTGTGTGAGGGGTGGGCTCTGCTTCCCTCCAGCACTGCAGCTTCTCTGAGCTTTTGTTACATAAAAAACACGTAGAAAGAAGTTGGGGATCTGGGCTGGCCTGGGGGGACCTGAGCAGCTGCCACCCCTTCCTGCACTCAGCTGCCACCCGCTTCCTCCTGACCACTGCCGTGAGATACCAAACCCAACATTTTTTCACATTCCCAGGAAAGAGTGGCCCCTCCCCAGCCCAGGCAGCTCTGGGGCAGGGCAGGATGATGGAGAAAAGCTCTCCTCAGATCCTCAGACTGAGATTTCCTTCTGCAGTTCCAGCCCCACTGGGGGATTTGGCTCTGTCCTTTCTCCTGCCTCACCTCAGCTGCCTGGAGCTGCCTCCTGCTGCTCTCAGGAAGGGATGAGCGCTCCCCACCCGCTAGAAAACATCAGGGGAGGGAGGGCAGAAACGCTGAGCAGCTGCACTTTGGTCTCTTGTGCCTCCTCCCAGAAGGACCTTTCACAAAATTCGCAGCCTGCTCTAAAGGAATTGGGCACAAAGGCAAAGCCACAGGGGTTCAGCCCCCAAATTCCTGCCCCCCAAAACCCTTCAGAGCCCTGGGGAGCCCGGGAGCCTCCTGGGGGCACGGCCACAGCAGCTAAAGGCTGGTTTTCCTTTATCTAGGAGACAAGACAGACGTGGGACACACAAATCAAATCACCACTGACAGAGGGTGACACACAAATCACCAGTGACAGAGCCGGGGGCTGTGGGGAGGGGACAGGGGGACATTGGCACTTGTCAGCACGGAGCTGCTGCTGCCGGGCACGGGGAGCAGGGGAGGGAGGGCAGGGGGTCCCTGCAGGGGCAGGGTGTCCCTGGAAGGACAGGGGCGTCCCTGGAGGGACAGGGGTGTCCCTGCAGGCCCTGCCACGCCAAGGCCTCGCGGTTCCGGAGCGCCCAGCCCCGCTCTGATCAATAAATAAGGTACAGGAGGACGGCTCCGTTCCGCTCGTGTTTGTACGTTTGCCTCGTGTCCCTGGCCAAAGGACACGCTCCCTCTGGCCAGCCTGGCCTGGAACAATCCAACTGTCCCTGCAGCAGCGCTCCCGGAGCCTCCCCGAGCAGACAAAGGGCAGATCCCGCCCCGGGCAGGGCCAGGAGCAGCCCGGGCTCTTACGTGGAGGAGGGAGAGTCCATTGTGGAGAGGATCCGCACGACCTCGGCCCGCTGCGTGGGGGAGATGTGCTGGGTCATGTGCACGATGGAATCCATGGCAACCTCGGGATTGGCCTGGACCAGGCTGTGAAGAGCAGAGAGGGCAGAGAGTGAGGCAGCTCCGGAGCTCCCAGCAGGGATCCAGGGGGCTGTGAGTGGGCCGGGAGCAGCCGGGAGCTTCCTCAGGACACTCGTGCCCCACAGGGAGGGCAGGAGCTCTGGAGCCAGCCCCGAGCCCAGCCAGGCCCCCTCCCTGCTCACCTCCTGATCTGCTTGAGCACATAATCCCTGGAGATGTATTTGATGTTCTCCTCCACCACCGAGCGCACGCCCTCCTCCTCCGTCAGCTGCTTCTCCAGCCACTCCACCAGGTCCTTGTTGCTGTCCCACAGGTAGGCCTGCCAAAATGCCACAGCTCAGCCTGCAGCCAGCCCTGCCCACTGCCCAGATTCACCCCACACATCTGGCTGGGCACCCCCACAGACACACCTGACAATCAGCACAAGGTCAAACATTATCCATTTCTTTTGCATCCTGCCATGAATGTGATGGAAGGGGACCAAGGAGGTGCTTGGTCAGTGCTGCAGGGAACAAGCTGCAGCTGTCCCAGATAAATCCCAGTTTCCCTGGTTATCAGCTCCCCAAATTCTGGTGGAACATGGCTGACCTGACATGCAGCTGCTCCAGGGATTCTCCCAGTGCTAAACCTGTGAGTCCCCATCGCCTCCAGCCTGCCCCAGCTCAGCAGAGCAGGTTGGAGCGTCTGGACCCTCAGCCACAACCCCCTTTGTGCCTTTCACAAGATCATTTCACCTGATATTTGCTAGATAGTTGGCTGTGTAATAACTCAGGAGAGTGTGAGCCCCTAACAGCCTTCTCTCCTCTCCTCTCATTTTCTTTACAAATCATTTAAGAATCGTTTTGTTAATGGTTTCCGGAAAAGCAAGTACTGCCATTAGCACTCATTCATATTTATGTCATTTTATTTGGGTAATTAAACACAAAGCTCCTCATTTAAAGGTGCACTATCCTTCTCTGTTATCACTAACCAAGTCAAAGGCAGAATGACAATGAGCTGGGGGTGCTGACACCGTGGTGGCACCTCCTGAGCCAGACCTCTGGGACACAGAGCCAGGAGTCACAGAGTCCTTGGACAAACCTCTGAGGTCACCGAGTCCAACCATTCCCAGCACTGCCAAGGCCACCACTGACCGTGTCCCCAAGTGCCACATCCACAGGGATTTTAAATCCCTCCAGGGATGGGCACTCAGCATTGCCCTGGGCAGCTGGGCCAGGGCTGGGCAGCCCTTCCCAGGGAGGAATTTCCATGCAGGAATTTCCTTCCCAAGGAGGAATTTCCCTTCCCAAGGAGGAATTTCCTTTTCCATGGAGGATTTTCCTTCCCAAGGAAATTTCCTTCCCAGTTTCCAGCCCTGGATCTCCCCTGGCCCAGCCTGAGGCTGTTCCCTCTCCTCTGTCCCTGTTCCCTGGCTGTCCCCTCCTGTCAGGAGCTGTGCAGAGGGGACACCTTCCCTTATCCCAGGTGCTCCCAGCCTGGCCTTGGGCACTGCCAGGGATCCAGGGGCAGCCCCAGCTGCTCTGGGCACCTGTGCCAGGGCCTGCCCACCCTGCCAGGGAGGAATTTTGGTGTCAGAGCCCATCCCAGCCCCTGACACACTTCAGAAACCCCAGGATGATTTTATTTCCTTTCACACGATGTCTCTGATTGTCTCAGCCCGGTGATGTCACTTCAAGATTTTGCTTATTTCATTGTTTTTCTCCTTATGATGATTTGAAACTCGGAGTTTTGCTCCCTGCCTGTGCCCCTGCCAGGCAGCAAACAGCCCCTGCATACAAAGGCAGGTTCCAGGGAAGGGGGGAAAGCCCAGCCCGGGAAGCTGCAGCACAGCCCCAGACCTGTGGAAAGCTCCATTTACCCAAGAATCCCAAAGCTTTTCGTTTAGGAGAATATTTAATACTCTTATTAATCATTTTTAATCCGTTTGCTTTTAATTAAGAAACAGCATGATGCTTCCCTATCAACATATGCCAGGGAGCAGATTAATTGTGGCTTAAGATAACTCTCCTTGATTGGTGTAATGTATTAGCTAACGAGCTGCCTGCTTTTGGAGAGCTCAGGCTCTACCTTGGAAAGGCTGCTGCCCTCCAGAGAACATTCCCCCCTTCCCTGGAACCCCTGGGTGCTGGGGACTTCAAAAACAGAACGAAAAAAAAATAGAATTAAAAAATAAAACACTGAAATAAAACAGAATTTTTAAAAAGAAAGTAAAATAAATAAAATTTTAAAAAAATAAAGTAAAATAAGTAAAGTAACAAATTAAAATAAAGTAACACAAAGTAAAATAAAATGAAACAAATAAAGAAAGAAAATAAATAAAATTAAATAATGTAATATAATAACAAAGGAAAATTAAATAAATACATAAAATTAAGCAATATAAATAAAATTAAATAAAACAGAATAGAATAAAAGAGAAAAAAATAGAAAAATAGAATAAAAGAGAAAAAATAGAAAAATAAAATAGAATAATATAGAAAAAATAGAAAAATAAAATAGAATAGAAAAAATAGAAAAACAAAATAGAATACAATAGAATAAAAAAGAATAGAATAGATTAAAATAGACTAAAATAGAATAGAATAAAATAAAATTAAATAAAAAGAATAAAATAGAATACAATAGAATAAAATAAACTGAAATAAAATAAAAAATAATAAAATAAAATAAAATAAGAATAAAATAAAATAGAATAAAATAAAATAAAATAAAATAAAATAAAATAAAATAAAATAATAAAATAAACTGAGATTGGAGGCTTGTGCCCAAACCAAGCCAAGAGCAGCTCCCTGCCCTTCCTTTGGAGCCTGCAGGTTGAGCAGCACCCTGGCAGGAATGGCCGTGGTCCCTGCTGTCCCTGGTGCCACCAGCCCACACTGACCTTGACCGTGCCCTCCACCTCGACAAACCAGCGGCGCAGCATGGCCTGGATCTGCCCGTCCGTCAGCTCGGGGTTGGCCTCGTGGATTTTGCTCTTCACGGCCTCCTCCAGCAGCAGCCGCCGCAGCCGCCAGTAGAAAAACGTCCGGGAGGTTTTCCAGTCCAGGACATCCTGCCCGGGGCACAGCGGTGAGGGACGGCAGGAACAGACACAGGCACGGCTCATTCCCAAATTAAACCCGGGCTGGGACCCCCTCTGTCCCCTGGCATGAGAGGGAGATCCCCCAGGGATCCCACCCTGTCCCACCAGGAGCTGCACAGGGTGATGGAGGGTCTGCTCCAGCCCTGTCCCCAGGAAGCTGTGGGACACCAGGAGCTGTCCATGGTGATTGAGGGTCTGCTCCAGCTCCATGCCCAGGGAAGCTGTGGGACACCAGGAGCTCCACAGGATAATGGAGGGTCTGCTCCAGCCCTGTCCCCAGGAAACTGCGGGACACCAGGAGCTGTCCATGGTGATGGAGGGTCTGGCTCCAGCCCCATGCCCAGGGAAGCTGTGGGACACCAGGAGCTGTCCATGGTGATTGAGGGTCTGCTCCAGCCCTGTCCCCAGGAAACTGTGGGACACCAGGAGCTCCACAGGGTAATGGAAGGGTCTGGCTCCAGCCCCATCCCCAGGGAAGCTGTGGGACACCAGGAGCTGTCCATGGTGATGGAGGGTCTGACTCCAGCCCTGTCCCCAGGGAAGCTGTGGGACACTCACAGTTATGGCCCCTTTCTCCTGCATCCTGCCGGGGGTGTCGTGCAGGTCAGCGAACTGCATGGCCACCTGCTGGTAGATGGGCACCAGGAACTCCTCCCTCTCCTTCAGCTTGGCCTCCAGCTCCTTCCTGTCAGCCGGGCTCAGCTCGGGGGTGCCTGAAACCACACACAGAGATCAGAACCTGGGGAAGCTTGGGGTGCTCAAACCACACACAGATCAGAACCTGGGGGTGCCTGAAACCACACACAGCTCAGGGGTCACAGATCACACCCTGGGGAAGCTCAGGGGTGCAGTTCCAGGCAGTCCAGCACTTGGAAAAGCCAAAGGACAAGCCCCGGAGCATCAGCTCCCAGCAGTGCCCAGCAAATCTCTGCTCCAGCCCAGATTTGGTGCCACAGAGACTCTGGCAAGGGCTCTGAGGGTGTTTTCACCATGGAAACTCTGTTCCATTTAAATGCCAACCATCTAAGCCATCAATTAAGTGACATTTACAGGACTTACTCCTAAAAGAGAATAATGTCCCAACACTGCTGTTCATTTAGCAAGAAACACAGACCATGGCACTCCACCTTCACCACACCAAGCTCTCCTTTAGCCCACTCCAGGGGCTCTGCAATCCCAGCAGGAAGCCAGAGCACCCCAAGCCAACAAACCCAGCTTAAACCAGTGGGCAGAAGCTTTACAGACACCCCAGGAGGGACCAGCTTCACCCAGTGCATGATCCAAGGCTCGAATTCACTGCCCAAACAGGCTCACAGAGGGGGATCAGACAAATCCGTGCAGGGAGATTCCAGCAGAGGCTCCTGAGCATGAAGAGCAGATATTAACCTGTGCTCAGGAAGCCTCTAAACCACAGCTGGGAGCTGAGACAGCATCCTGGGGGCTCCATCCCAGGATGCTGCTGCTCCTTCCACGCCTCATTCCCACAGGCACAATAATCCAAGGCTGCTGGACCAAAGGGAGGAGCTCCCCAGAGGCCTGAGCACCCCAGGGCCTGCTCACACACCCCATACATGTTCTTATTCCAGTGCCTGCTCACACACCCACCCCATAGATGTATTTTTCCAAGGCACAAGCCCTCCAGACAGAGATCCTTCCCAGGGAAGGAATGTTTTCCCTGTGCCTACCAATATAAATGTTACCTAACCCTTCAGATGCGAGTAAGAAGGTTTTAATTAAGAGAAGCTCCCCTTCTAACCTTCAGAATAAAAAATTATCTATATTTATCCAGGCTGAACTCCCAGGCTCCCTGGTTTCAATGGCAACACAAGCACTCAGGGCAGCCCTGTTGGTGAATTCCAGCCCCTGCCACCGAGTCCACCCAGGCAGGCCCAGTAATGATTTAGGTGAGATTAACAAATATGTCAATGTCTATTTTCTGCTTAATTTAAAAGCAGCGTCTATAAAGATTTTTGACTTCTGAACCCTGTTCTCCTGGAAGAAAGAAGGTAACAATGAGGAGGGGGGATAAAGAGTGATTATCCCATCATCGATCGTTTGTCAGGAGCATTTCTTATTCACTGCACCATTGTAAAAAGCTAAGCTCTCGATCAATCCCGTAAGCCCCCTGTACAATTAAATATCTTGGAATGGTTTTCTTTCTTTCCTAGTCAGATCTCGAGGCCTCAGGGTTTTTCAGAAAGCCTGGGCTTTATTTATTTATTTCTTAAGGTAAAAAAAAAAAAATTAATAAATAAATAAAAGGGAAAAAAAGAAGTCTCCTTCCACAAATCTTATCCTGGCAAGGAGAGGGGAGTTAAAATATGGGATTCCTTTGCTCTAGAGGTACTTGACAGTTAATGAAACTGTTAAAGTTTAAATCATAGGAGCATTATAGACCTCCAGGTATGGATTGGCTGCTAATCAATAGGGAAACAAAAGGAGCAGCGCTCCCAGACAGCCCCATTCCATGAGGAGAGAGCTGGCACACGGGTGGGGCAGCACCAGGACCATGAGTGACCCTCCTGGCCTGGCAGGGAGCACAGGGCAGGGCCAGGAAATGTCACCTTTTCCTCTGCAGCCTCCGTGTCACCGTGGCTCTGCAGAGTGCTGGGGTGGGAAGGGGCTGGGAAACCTCTCAGCTCTGCTCCCAACACCCCAGAGGAGCCCCCCAGGGCAGGCAGCACCCAGCACCCCCTGGCTCCACAAGCCTTCCTCTCTTCTCTTTGAATCAGCAGCAGAGCTGCCTTAACCAGGTTGGAAAGATGCCCTGGGCAAGCAGCAGCTCTGGGTCCCACCTCACCCCACTGCAGCAACAGCCTCACACCTGAACCTCACCTCCTGTGCTCCTGCCCTGAGCACAACAGTGGCCAGACATAAATTCACTCTCTCCTGGGAGGGTGGGAGGCTCTGGCTTCCCCTGGGTCCCTGGCAGTGCCCAAGGCCAGGCTGGGCAGGGCTGGGAGCACCCTGGGACAGGGAAAGGTGTCCCTGATGAGCTTTAGGGTTCCTTCCAATCCCAGCCATCCTGGGATTCCAGGAAATCAGCCAAGGCAGCAGAAATGCCAAAGGTGTCCAGGCTGCCCAGAAACTCCCCCAGCCCAGCTGGAGGGAACTGCTCCAGAGGGGAGAGGGAAGGTCACAGGGAGCCACTCACGTCCCTGGAGAGACAGGCATTTTTGGATTGTCTCTTGTTTCTTTAAATGAGACAGGCTGTAATTGCTTCACTAAATATTCAGCAGGATTTATGTCAGAAAGGTGCAGCATGAACAGCCAGTGAAGGTCACACCAGCTCGTGGCACAGGCTGCAAATATCCTTGCACAGAATCCCCGTGGTTCCCACCCTGCCCCTTCCCTCTCTTTGCTCCTCAGGTCTCATTTCCCAGCAGCTGAAGTGTGGCAGGGACATAATTCCAAAAAAATTCCAACCCCCAGCCCCTCTGGGAGGATACCCCAGTGCCAAGGAGGAGCTGAGAGAAAGCAGGACTTGCTCTGGGAGCCCTGTGATTGTGAATTAACACCAATTTAAATGCAGCAGCACCTGCACAGGGAAGCAGCTTCTGAAACAGCATCACCCACAAAACCAAGTTACAACCTGTGTTTATCCAGCACCCCGTGAGAGATGGAATCAGAAGAGCAGGGCTCCTCCCAGGTTTTCCTGAAAAACTGGCAGTGAGGGTCAGTTCTGGGCCTGCACCCCAAAATGTTCACTTCCAGAGAGGAACTGCTGTGCTGAAGTGGAGCTGAGTGATGAATACTTGAGTGTTCACTCATTATTTGGAAATTTAAAGGCAATTTTGGGGGCTCTTTAGCCAAGTAAGGTGTGAACCAAGCCCCAGCAGCACAGACTGACTGCCCTAGGAAATGAAATAAATGAAATAAATAAAACCAGAGGCGCATTCAGCACACAGGAACACCTCACAGGAGCAGCAAGGAGGACATTCCCACTAGCACAACGTGCATCAGGTGATGACCAGAGGCTGCCTCTTTCCTACCAGAAACATGGAAATGCAATAGCCAGCCTTGCTGTGACTGGAGCCATTCTGCCATTCCTTTCACCCACATCCCACCCCATCTTTGCACCCATTTCCCTGCACCTCTGACAAGAGGCACAGAAGACAAGAGGCACAGAATCTGTACAATGAGGCTTATTCTCACCACGTGTTTTAGTCTAATTGTAATAAATCAATAAAATTTGAGTCTCTGTATTTTGAGCTGTGGCCCAAGGCTTGCAGGCTGCCCGTGCCCACATTTCTGGGTGATCCCTGCCCACCTGTGGGGATGTCCCTGCCCACGTGGGGACGTGCCCTGGGCCAGGGGCAGGGCCACCCTCTCCCCCTGCCCCTTGCTGGAGCAGCCCAGCTCTGAGTGACACTTTAATAAACCACGGGGGCTAATCAACATTGCAGCAATGCTGCTGCAGAATTGATAATGAACAGATTTATGTCAAATGATTCAATATCTCCCCATCCACCACGTCCAGCCCCGGCGTGGGCTGGCGGGAGAGCAGCTCCCTGGTGCTGCTCCCCAGAGCTCTGGGCAGGGATGACAGCCACTCAGGGGTTAAAGAGAGGCAGTGAACCCCCAGCTAATGAGTAAGAATTCAGCAGGCAGTGTAAGATAAATGGAGCTTTCTCTGCTTCTGCTGGAGTCAGCATGAACTGCGGCCCTGCGGCTTGTTTGTGGCAAATGGAGTGCGCGAAATATCAAAGGGCAGTGATCCAGAAGAAGACCGACTTTGACAAATTTTAAATTGGCCAGAAAGAAAACCAGCAAAAAAATAAAATAAAAAAAAAAGGAAAAAAAAAAAAAAAGGGGAAAAAATTATGCAATTCAGTGTGTCCTGCAATCCTGACTTTGCTGCTCTGGTATTGAATTAGTGGCAAAACAACAGTGATGATCAGCCAGTGCTGGCAGCAATTACATCCATCTCAGGGAGATGCTTATCAGTGACTGAAGCTTTTAGAGCTCTCCCTATGTACAGTTGTAAGTGACTTGCTCTTGTGTTGCAGTCATTTTAATTAAAGTGTATGGAGTTTGCTGGGAGTAATTACCCTGTAGAGGAAGAGGGGGGAAAAAGCCCCGAGCAGGCTCCTGGCTCCTCACATGGAGCTGGGTTTGTGAGGCTGTTGGCAGAAAACTCTACCCCATCTTTGCCCCTGTGGGTTTTTTCCGTGTCCCACAGGATTCAGGGGTGGCCTGCAGGTGCCCTGCAGCCACAGAGGTGAGAGTGAAGGTGATGCTCTGCTCCCCCTCCCCGCAGGATTGCCACGCTCCAGCCTTTGTCCAGAGCATTCTCCAGGGGATGGATCCATCCCCAGGCCATGGGCTCTGCTGGAGCAGGGCTTGCTGTGCTGCTGGCACTGCCAGGGGTGTGGGCAGGTGAAGGTGAACACTGCCAGCAGCAGCAGGGCTGCCCTGCAGGGCCATTCACCTGCAGGGCCCAGCTGAGTGCTCAGCACATTCCCCTCCCAAGGACACCTCTGATTTCTCCTTCCTGGAGATTCCTGCTCCCTGTCTGACACCACCCGTGGGAGAGGGGGATGAGGGTCCTGCCTGCCTGAGGAACTCCACTGAACACCTCCAGAGAGGCTTTTCTGGGACTCTGAGCTGGGTCCCCACGGTTTGGGGTGGTCACTGTCCCTTTGCTCCTAAAGGAAAACTGTCAAGTCTGACAGAGGCCAAAAGTGAGGTTTTCTGAAAATAACCTCCTTGCTGCAGACTTTTAACCTGGGATTTAAGTCATGGAATAACAGAATGGTTTGAGTTGAAAAGGACTTTAAAGATCATTTCATTGGACACCTTCCACCATCCCAGGGCACTCCTCACCCTTCACCCGTTACTATTCTCTTCCCGAGGCATATCAGGAGGGTTGTTTTGTATATAAATTGTTGCCCTGCCATAAATTAAAAAAAAAAAGCCAAATAGTAAAATGTAACTGCAGCAATAGCCAGGATTTATCAGTCATTTGCAGAACACTTTTCCTCCTGAAGGATCCCAAAAGGCTTTATAAATTCAAGCCATACCCACATGGCACGCTTCTCCCTCCACTGAAATGTAGTCAATTTTGGAGGTAAAAGGAGGCTCTGTAAGATTATACTCTTATAGTAAGAGCCAGTAAAGGACTATTTAAAAAGCCTATTCCCCCGAGAGAGAACATATCTGATATTAAGTGCATTTTGCTGAACACTCTGTATTTTGGGATGTTGAGTGTACAGCAGGCGCTGGGATCGCTCAGAGTGGTAATAACACAACCCTGGCCATGGCAGCACTGAGCTCTGCACAGCCCCTGCTCACAGAGACATGGACAACATTCCTCATTCCCTTGGAACTGAAGAGCACACAGATGTCATTGCTGCAAACTACCCCAGACACTCAGTGACAGTCCAGCAGCCCAAAATGTCTGATCAAACCCTTCCTTATGTGAAACGACGCCTGCTGAAGGCTTGGCCCACAGACCTTTAGTGAGCTGAGCAATTGCTGAGCTGGAAATTAGACCCAGGCATCTGCAGTGAGGGTCTGTTGTGAGATCCAGTCAATAAAATATAATAAAAAAGAGAAATCAGCTATAAACCCCTGGGTATGCTGAGCATGCATGAGCGTCATCTCACAGTTACACACCTGTCACAGACATTTTTAATGCAAAATCCTTTCTTTAGGATTTGTCCTCCTGAGAAGCTGAGAGGCTTCAGGAACAAAATGTAAACATTGATTATCTGCTGCTGTGGAATGTAACAGGTGCATCTGTGATTGGCCCATGTTGGTTGTTTCTGATTAATGGCCAATCACAGCCCAGCTGGCTCTGACAGAGAGTCTGAGCCACAAACCTTTGTTATCATTCTTTCCTATTCTATTCTTAGCCAGCCTTCTGATGAAATCCTTTCTTCTATTCTTTTAGTATAGTTTTAATGTAATATATATGATAAAATAATCAATCAGCCTTCTGAAACATGGAGTCAGATCCTCATCTCTTCCCTCACCCTGGGACCCCTGTGAGCACCATCACACACACATGCCGTGGTCTTGCTGGTTTTCTCCCCAAGCCACACAGATAAAAACGTCAGCAAATAAGAATGAAAAGCAGTGATGAGATGCCCCCTGAGGGGTGCCCAGGGGCTGTGCCACGTACCCAGGCGCTCGGCCAGGTGGATGTACACGGGGTCCACCCTGCGCATGGTCTTCACCAGGTCCTTCCTGCGGAACCGGATCTCCACCGTGCCCTCGGGCTCCAGGATCCCTCCTCTGCAGGAGAGAAAAGAACAGCACTTCTTGCACCTGACTCTGTGTCATCAGACACTACACTGAATGGTTCAACACCTGCTGGAAAGCGTGGGGAGGGAGACAGAGCAAAGGGAGGATTGTTACTGTCATATTTTCTGAAAAATCCCTTCGCTAGGATTTCCTCTCCTGGGAACAGAGAAGCATCAGAGAAAAATGAAAACAATATGATCTCATTTGCTTCTCCTGTGTATTGCTACTTTGGAATGTAGTTTAGAGACTGTTTATCCACCATGTGAATTGGTTTTATTTAATGACCAATCACAGTCCAGCTGTGTCAGGACTCTGGAAAGAGTCCCAGCTTTTTCAGTAGTATCTTGTTAAGCCTTCTGTAAATATCTGTAATATCTGAATAGTTTAGTATAACATTCTTTACTATAATACCATAAAATAATAGATCAGCCTTCTAAAAACACAGAGTCATATTTTCAATTCCTCCTCCATCTGGGAGACTGGAGGAATTTTTAGCTCCACTTTCTCCACAGCGAAAACGCAGACGAGGCCCCACACGTCCAAGCCCATGGAAACCACCCATCCCCAGGCCATGAGGAGCAGCCAGGCAGCCCCAGCAGCGTGTCCAGGCAGAGGGTCTGTACCTGCTGTCCCTGTCAGCATACATCTCCATGTGCCTGGGGTTGATGGTGGGGTCGATGACCACCCAGGAGCCGCCGCGCAGCTCGCCCTGCGGCGGGATGTAAACCAGCACGGGCTGCCGGTACTCGCGCAGGCCGTCCACGATGTAGGCACCAAACTTCAGCACCTGGTCATACATGTCTGGGGAGGGACACACAGATGGTCAGGATGGATGGGCAGGACACACAGATGGTCAGGAATGGGGTGATGGACACAGAGATGGTCAGGAATGGCTGGGGATGGACACAGAGATGGTCAGGATGGATGGGATGGACACAGAGATGGTCAGGATGGATGGGATGGACACAGAGGATCAGGATGGATGGGGATGGACACAGAGATGGTCAGGAATGGCTGGGGATGGACACAGAGATGGTCAGGATGGATGGGATGGACACAGAGATGGTCAGGATGGATGGGATGGACACAGAGGATCAGGATGGATGGGATGGACACAGAGGATCAGGATGGATGGGGATGGACACAGAGATGGTCAGGAATGGCTGGGGATGGACACAGAGATGGTCAGGATGGATGGGATGGACACAGAGATGGTCAGGGTGAATGGGATGGACACAGAGGGTCAGGATGGATGGGATGGACACACAGATGGTCAGGATGGATGGGATGGACAGAGAGATGGTCAGGATGGATGGGATGGACACAGAGATGGTCAGGATGGATGGGATGGACACAGAGATGGTCAGGATGGATGGGATGGACACAAAGATGGTCAGGATGGATGGGATGGACACAGAGATGGTCAGGATGGATGGGGATGGACACAGAGATGGTCAGGAATGGATGGGATGGACACAAAGATGGTCAGGAATGGATGGGATGGACACAAAGATGGTCAGGGTGGATGGGATGGACACAGAGATGGTCAGGGATGGATGGGATGGACACAGAGATGGTCAGGATGGATGGGATGGACACAGAGATGGTCGGGAATGGGGGATGGACACAGAGATGGTCAGGATGGATGGGATGGACACAGAGATGGTCAGGATGGATGGGATGGACACAGAGATGGTCAGGGTGGATGGGACAGGGACACACAGCCTGGAGTCACAGCTCATCACTGCTCCACACCAGGTGTCCTGGGGATGATCTATCCCTGCCTTCCCAGCCCATGAACATTCCCACAGTTTGGGAAATCAGCCTGGGTACGTCTGCACTGCCCAATTTCAGACTCACTACCCCAGACCTCTCCCACAACTCATGTAATGTGAATGAAATGCACCTAAGGGCAGCAGAGCTTTTCCAGATCTTCATAAAAATGTGTGTGGAGAGGGATGGGGAACAGCACTCCACTCTCCCTCCATTAAAATTTGTTTAAGGCACTTTGCTCAAAATTAATAAGAACAACTCCACTGTGTAAAGACAGTACATTGAAAATATCAGCCCCAAAGGTGATTTAAATAAAAGAGAAAAAGGGAAGGCAGAAGAATTTCTATGAGATGATATAGTTTCTAATGGATACAGTTTGTAATGGAAACGGGCACTCTTGAATATATATATTTTGTTACATATAATTATATCTACAAGTATTAAATCAAAATACAAGAAATGAAAAATAGTTATTAGGCTCATCTAGCCCACCTCTTTGTTCACACAGGACTGTTTCTTCCACAGTGCTTTTGAAAGCTCCCATTTAGAAACCCCAAACAATAAATCTGCTTCTTTAGGGACATTTCCACAGCCGAACAGATGAGATTTCCCTCAGAACTCGGCCAAACTTCCCCTCCCTCCCCATTAATTTCATGTCAACACCTCTGGTACCACCTACACAATGTCTGCTCTCCTTCAGGCTCACCACAAACAGCAGCAGCATTTGCAGTGGGGTTTGTCCTCAAACACTGCAGGTATCCATCCCTCATCCCTCTTCCAACCCCCTCCAGCATTTGGGTTTTCTGCTTACACCCTCCCAGTTGGCCTCATTTTTTCTGGCCATTAAAATACCAGTGTAGAGAAAATAAAGGATCTGCATTTATGTACCTCACACCTGCTGCAACAGGAACAGCCTGGGAACACTGAGACACTTTTATTCATCTAAAATCCTCCTATCCCTCGAGGAAAGCCTCATTTCTGGGAAGGGAGAGACCACAGCCAAGGTGCCTTTGTCATTTAACCCTCATTTTAGTGTTAAGTATTAACATGAACATAATTAAGCAATTAACTCTTTAGGAAACACTCTTTTATGTTTATATTTATATGAATAATATATATTTAATATATATAAAATTTTTATATTCATATATATATATATATGAATACAAAAATTTTATATACAAATTTTATACACAAAAAATATATAAAAATATATATTAGTACCACAGGCACTGATAGGATCTCTCCATTTCATTTCCAAGGTCATTGCCCAAACACTCAAGAAACGGAATTTCATCTTATTTAAGAGGTATCAAATGCTGACAAAAGGAAGAACAATTTATTCCCTCTAATTGGGAATAAACATAAATCCCAGCAGAGACAGTGAGGAGTGAGAACCAAACAAAACTCCAACCTTTCCCTTTGTCCTGAGCAAAGAAAAAGACTCAAAAGGGGTGACAAATTTATTACTAATTATACAATTATTTTATTATGTAGTGCTAGTAATAAACCACTTGAAGTACTTTCAGCTAATTCTAGTGTTAAGAAAATAATTGCTTGATTCAAATTATTTTAACTGAATTAATTCTTTACTAGACATTTTTTACTAGTGCTACATAATAATATAATTGTGTAATTAGCAATACATTTTTCACTCCTGCCACGGGTGTATATTTTACTCAGGTGAAGTGCAGAGAAGAGCAGCACTAATTGTTTGAACAGGGCAGAGGGAGGAGAGGCAGAGGAATTGGGGGAACCTGATGCTTTCTCCGAGCTCCAAACCTCCCTCAGATTTCCCAGGTGTGATCAGGAAGGGATTTCATTTTCTAGCAGGTGGTCAGGGGAGCATTTCTGTGCCTGTGGATCTTTTGGGATCCTTTCTGTGCCTGTGCATCCTTTTTGTGATCTTTTCTGTGCCTGTGCATACTTTTTGAGATCCTTTCTGTGCCCGTGGATCCCTCTGGATCCTTTCTGTGCCTGTGGATCCTTTGGGCTCAGCCTGGCAGGAGTGTGAACTCCCCCTGCCTGGCTCTGCTCCCTCTGGGAATGCCCCAGCAGCCTCCTGAGGAAAGAACTGATTAAACCCCAATATTTGTCATTAAACAGAACCAAGTGCTGGCTGCCTCTGCACACCCAACTCTTCCCCAAGGCTGGTGGAGCTGCTGGAGACACCCAGATGTGGCTGTGAAATTTGCTGAGGAGCATTCCCCTCCCTGACTGCCACCACCAAGGGGTCCCCATGGTGCTCCAGGCCAAAATTCCTGGTTTAATTTAAACCTCAGCCCAATCTGAGCAGCCTGGCCCAGTGAGAGCTGTCCCTGTCCATGGCAGGGGGTTGGAATGAGGTGACCTTTAGGTCCCTCCCACCCCAGACCAGCCTGGGGTTCCATCAGCAGGGCAGAGATGCTGCAGGATGCCCCAGGAGAGCAGAGCTGGCTCTGCACAGGTGGGCAGTGCCCACAGAGCTCTGTGCCTATCTCTGTGCCCACCCCACAGGGACACACAGCCTGCTGCAGGTGTCCCCACCTCCCTGTGCGGGTAAATCCTGGCACTCAGAGCCCTCCCTGCCCCTCTGGAGCTGGAGCAGATCCCACCAGCCTGCCTGGCACAGCAGAGGGGACCTGGAGAAAACACTGGCCAAGACACCCCATCAACCCAGCCCATCAATCCCACAATCCAGCACCCAGCCCCACAACCCAGAATCCAGCCCCACAACCCAGCATGCAGCCCCACAACCCAGCACCCAGCCCCACAATCCAGAATCCAGCCCCACAACCCAGCATGCAGCCCCACAACCCAGCACCCACCACCCAGCCCAGGACCCAGCACCCAGCCCAGCCTCTTCACTCTGCTTTTCTGTCTCTTTTCCCTTTCTTTGATCGCTGTTTAGGCTCAGTCCCGGGCAGAAGGGAGCAGTGAAACCCGAGCTGCCCCCGGGGGGGTTTGCCTGTGCTCAGCCCCTGGGGCAGGCAGGACCCTGGTGCTGATTTCCAGGGAATTTCACGCTCGGTGTCTCCCGGCCGTGGGTCAGCGCCGCCTCGCCCACGTGAAGCCCAAATCAAGCCCTGCCAAATGGCTCCTGCAGCACAATATTGCAGCCAGCTTTTCAGCATTTCATCCTGCATTATGCTCAGGAGCCTTCTGGCCACGGAGAGAGCTCGTTGGGGACAGCACCACACCACGAGCTGCCTTTATTTAGGGTTATTTATTTATTTCTTTTGCAGCAGGAATTAGACCTCCCAGGCTGGCTAGGAAGGAGGGGGTTTAATTTTTTCCTTTTTTTTTTTTTTTCCTTTTCCTCCCCCTTCACTAATGTCAATTTTCAGCATAGCAAGAGCTGTCTCTAATCTTTTCCTACTCATTACACACAATTTTGGAGTCATTTTACCCACAGTGCAGTCGGCTCCTGGCAGTGTGTTTGTGTGCACTGAGGGGTGGCATAATTGTTTATTTTCCCTCCCTGCATAATCCCCAGCCAGCACTGAAACCAAAACTGCAAACAACTCCCCAAGGGACCCCGAGAGTGTCAGGAGACACCAGCAGCAAGCAGGAGGCTGGAAAATGCAAGGAGCAAGGTGCAAACTGCAGTGGCTCTGTCCTTCCCTCTCCTGCTGCCAGCTGCCTGGAATAACTTGGGATATGCAATAGAAATATTAACATCCTCGTGCTGCCTGCTCCACACAGCCCCAAAGCTCAAACGCAGCTTCTGAGGAACCCAGCAAGGCCAGACATGACATTTTGAGGTAAAACAATGTTTAAGGACTAAATAAGGTATATAAATAAGCTAAAATTACATCAACAACTTCCCAGTGAGTTGTGTGGCTGGGAAAGCAGCTCATGTAGAGGGTGCAGCAGCAGCACACGGAGCAGAATCCACCCTCACAGGCAAGGGGCATTTTCCAGAGGGAAGAATTTTGCCCTCTTCTGCCACTTCTCACCTTTGCCTCTGCAAACCCCCAAAGGCTCTGCCTTGTGCCCAGCTGAGGAGCAGCAGAGCCCAGGAGCCTCTGCCACCCTGAGAGCTCCTGTAACCTCCCTCACACAGGTAAGAGGCCCTGATCCAATCTTTCACTTCACATTTTACACTATATCAACCTCACATCCTTGGCACTTCACCACCTTTCAAGCAGCACTCTGTGGCGCCCTGAGCAGCCAAGACAGAGCCCAAACCACCCCCAGGACAGCTCCAAAGTGCTGCTTACCTTTCATTCCCCCAGAGAAGCCTCTCCAGTTGGCAAAGACCATCAGGGGCAGCCCTTCCCTGTTGAAGTCCTTGATTGCCTGGGCTGTTTTGAAGGCAGAGTCAGGGAACCACACCTGCCCAGCCTGCTGGATTATCTGGTGGGAAGAAAAATCCGCTGTCAGGCCCTTGAAGCACGTTAATGTAAGAGTTAAAACACAGAAAAACCATCAGGAGCTGTGATGTGGGATAAACAATGAGGAACACGGCAGGTGAAATGTGTGGGATCTGCCTGGCCATGGGAAAATCAGGACAATCCTTTTGTCACCAACTTCAACAGCAGCATTCCCAATAATTCAGCTAAGAAAAGAGAGTATGGACAGCCTGACACTGTGATGCTGTAAGGAGAAGAGAAAGAAAAGGACATGGAGAGGAGAAAGCCCTGGAGAGATGAAGCAGGGCCAGGGCTGTGAAACCAGGCAGGGGAACAGCAAAATGTCAGAGCAGGGAGGTCATGGAGCACTGCAGACACAGCAGGACAGCAGGGAAGGGATTTTTGCTTGTCACATCTCCTGAGCTCTGATCCCTGATCCCTGCCCCTCCCTGAGCCCTGAGGGAATTCCTGGAGGTTAGGAAGGTAGGAATGGTCACACAGCAGAGTCCAGGCACTGCCAGCTCCCCAGGAATGGGCACCACACCTGGGCAGAGGAGGGAACCCCACTGGACAGGGACATGTGCAGGGGACACACAGGGACAGGGGCACACAGCCCACCCACCTTGGCCTCTGAGTCCAGGTTTGCAGGATCAGCAGGAATGCTGAGCTCCACCGTCCTGGTTTCCACAGCAACCACTCCTACAGGTATTCCTCCCAGCCTGCAAACAGGTGAGACACTGAAATCCCCACTCCTGCTTTTTTTACACAGCCAAACACCCAGGACAGACAAGGAACAGGAGCAGAGTTGGGGCCTTTTAAAGAGTTGAGGCTGGAGAGTTCTAGAGAGGTCACAGCCCCCAAAGCAAAATCTATTCCAAAGATGAGCACATCCCTCTCTGAAAGTCAAAGAGAATAAACCACACCCAGATTTTGAGTGGCAAATCTGTGTATCCACCACCCTTCACATGCCATCACCCAGATTTTGGTACCGGTGGATTTGAGCATGAAAAATCAGAGAATCCCAGAAGGGCTTGGGAAGGGCTTTAAACAATTCCTGTGCTTTCCCCAGATCTGCAGGGGTGGGCAGGAGTGCAGGCACCAGGGGGATGCCCAGCTCTGCCTCCCAGGGCAGCCAGCCCTGCTGCACACAAAGCCATGGAAGCCAGGCTGCCAGGGCAGTCCCAGCAGAGCCCCTCTCCCTCCCCAGCCAGCCCAAGCTGATTTCCCACAAACAGGGCAGAGACAGGGCCCATGTGCACCGAGGGGCTGAAATATTCCCATTCCCTGTGATGAAGAGTCTGCTGGAACCCCATAATTGCAGGAGCCGTCCTAAATCGGTAACTTATAACTTCTGTATTAGGGCCCATGTGACCTAATAAAGAACATCTTTATCCAAGTATTACAGTTATTTATTGAACTTGAAAACAGCTCAAAACAACTTCTGTTTTCCATAATACTTCATATAAATTTTATCAGGCTAGCACATGAAGATGCTACATCTTGTTTTATAGTGTGTCCCTGGACAAGTTGCCATAGAATAATAAAAGACAATTTACAGCCAACAGCACACATATTCCAAACATACATACAAGAGATGAGTTTTGGCAGCACTTACAGTAACAATCCCAGAAGAATACATTCATATTTGTTTTTTTCAAAGTGTCACTGCTTTTGAAAGGAATCTGTTTCATTTGTGTTATATATCCCTGCTGTGTGAGAGTCCAAAGCCACTCGGAATTTGTCAGAAGAAAGGAACTGCAAGTGAAGCTGAGCATGGACAGAGAGCTTCTGGCTTTGCCAAATCATTGATTTCCACCCCTGGCACACTGCTTAGCCGGGAAGCCTTTAAATTACAGAATTATAGAGCCATGGAATGGGTTGGAAGGGACCTTAAAGGTCATCTCATCCCTTTCTTTCCAACTCCTTCTATTAAATATATATATATATACACACACATAGAGAGAGAATGAAATAATCACAGGAATGTTGTGTTCTAGAGAAATGCAAAGCATAACCCAAACTTGATTTCTACAATTGCCTTAAACACACCTCAGAACTTACCTTGCTCTCCCCACCACCACTGTCTGTGCCCAGGGCTGCATGATCTCCATGAACGAGCCATGGTCGAAGAAGCCACTCAGCCACTGCCCTTTCTGATCTAAAGGGAAGGGAAAAAAAGGGAAAAATCAAAGGAGGAAGGAGAGAGGGAAGAAAGAAAACAGAATATCAAAGCAACAAATCAAACTTGCTTAAAAATGCCAGCTGCAGAACATGGCACTGTCTTTTTATTTATTTAATTTTAAATAGATGACAATACAAGGGAACATTAGACAGCTGAGCATTTGTCTGCCTTCAGCCATCATGTCTTATTTCATTTCCTAGTCTGCATAAAGACAGCAATTTATCAGCAAAAGCATCATTTATTGTTAAACGATGGGGTTCGGAGAGCAGAGGGACTTCCCGTGCTTTTAAATAAATAACTCTGCTTTTTTCAAGACTACAAACATTTGTCAAAAGGCAGTAAAGTCATTAAAGATGGTTTTCAACACATCTATTTCTATTTTAAAACTTATCTCATATTCTTCTCTTGATCCTGCCTAATCTCTCTTTGAAAGAAGGAATGCTGCAGAAACCCAGGAACTAAACACAAAAATTTCAATGATATTTTTGAGTCACTTACAGAAATCGCAATTCTGTGGGGCAGCTGCTGTGCACGGGGGTTTTGGGAAGCTCTGCATAAAAGTAACCCACAAAAAAATCCCCCCAAAACCCCAAATCCCTCCCAGCTTCACCCCCTGGCACAGAGCTCCCGAGGAACTCTTCCCTCTGAACAAGCACCTCTGCTTCTGCAAACCCAAGTCCAAAACCAATTAAAAAGTGGAGATCCGAGCACGCTAACCTCTGCTGACTTAAACAGGATGGAGAGTGTTTTATCAAGCCCAAACTTGTAATTACTGTGTTCTACATTCCTTGCCTCTGTGGCCCCACTGTAAAATGTGACCATCCATTTCAGAATTATCTCTTTATCGCGAGCCCGGAGCTGATCGTTGAGATTCTGGCCTCGTGTCGGGCGTCAGTTTGAAGAATATCACGGCAATATCTCCTCTAATAAATGGCTTTAACTTTTCACCTAGGAGATATCTGCTTTAACTTATCACAGGGAATCATCTGCTTTCCTTAACGCTTCCACTAAATTAAAATCTGAAGTCACTCGATTTGGAAGCCGGCATTTGCGGCGCCCGGACAGCTGGATGAATTGCTTGAGAGATGATGAAAAAATATTATCCAAAAGCAGAAAACTTAGTTTATCACAAATCTCATTTTAGCCCCCCAAACTCATTAATAACAGCAGGAGTAATGGTCACCCAGTTTGCAGCTTGTACCTACACAAGGCTGCACAACCCCAGTGGTGCCCATACAACAACTCTCCAAGATCTGCAGGAATGTTGTGATTCCTTTAACAGACCCTCTGTGGATGGACTTTCCCCTAATTCATAAAAAGAAATCCATAGAAGTGCCTATTCCCAGTAAATAGATCATCTGTAAAAGTATGGTGTCCTTGAGCACTCAGGATTTACATGCTACTTTTGGATATTGTTTATAAATAATATTATCGATTAATATTATTATATGTAAATATTTATATACTCTATCCATATTGCTCGGAACTAATTATTTTACAGAATCTGAAATATATTTGGGTAGCAGACATCTGGCAAACAGCCTGAAAACAAGGTGAGTTGCTGCCTGTCCTGGCCTTACTTGGGTTGGGGCGTCCAGCCAGCATCCAGCGAGGGTCGTAGGGGGCCTTGGTGGGAACAAAGTCAATGGTTCTGTCTATGGGATCCTTGGCTTTCAGGATGGGCACAGGGCTGTGGATATTCTAAGGGAAAAAGGGAAACACAGAAGGAAGTGAGAGCCCCTTTCCCAAAACCCTGCAAACACAGCAAACAGTGGCACCTCGGACCTGGCAGGCCCAGGAATTACCTTTGGCATGTAGGAAAGCCACTGCAGAATGGTGTAGACCCCTTCAAAGTCATCACACACAGTGTCATGTGTCACCCCGTTGTTGTGCATGATCTGGATCCCTCCCAGCTGGTTGTTGGAGGTGTAAACTTCCCGTCCAAGCACCTGGGGGAAGAGAAATGGGGAAGCCATCAGTGCTGGGATGTGAGCAGGAGGTGCTGGCCAAGCAGGCACACACAGACCCAGCCCTGCAGCACCTCAGCATCACCTGGAAATGGAAAGGAGGGAGCAAACCTCTCCCAACACAGCCTCCCAAGCCCTGTGTGCAGGTAAGAGCTGCTGAACATGATGCCCAGTGAACAGAGGGCAGGGGTGGGTGGGATATTGGGAAGGAATTTTCCCAGGGGAGGCCCTGGCACAGGGTGCCCAGAGAAGCTGTGGATCCCTGGAAGTGTCCAAGGCCAGGCTGGACTGGGCTTGGAGCAGTCTGGGATAATGGAAGGTGTCCCTGCCCATGCCAGGGGGTGGAATTGGATCTTTAAGGTTCCTCCCAGCCCAAACCATTCTGGATTCTATGATCCTCAAGGGGAATGATACCAGTGGGGAAACTGAGGCCGTTTTCCCCCTCGCCCTCTCCAAGCAGCAGTGTGACCAAAGTCCCTGAGTGCTGAGCCCAAACTGCTCCAGGAAAACTGTGGGTGGATGTATTTAAATGTATAACTGGGGGGAAAAAAAAAGAAAACAAAGGCCCAGCAGCTCCTTGGAGAGGCTGGCCAGAAGCAGGCTGGGGCTCCTCATTCTCTTGCACAGCTCCATCTCTAATCTGAGCCTGGGCAGCACAGCTCTTTTCTCATTCTCCTGCTGTCTCTTCCCATTTGCCCTCTCCCTGACTGATACACTGATCTCTCGGTCACTTGGCTTTCTGCTCCACTGACTCCATATTACTAATAACACCTCTGCCACGGCCAGTTTACCTCATGAAGGCAGGAGCACATCATTACAAAATAAACTCATAACTTTGACATTCCAGCAAATACACGCCGTTTGTTATTTTTATGGGTTGAGTCTTTCTAACAGACAGAGGACATTACACACCTGCTTCATTTGGATCTTAAAAACCCCCTCAAACACACAGCACCAGCCTGGCCTCCCCCAAACACCCAGCACAGCTCATTCTGGGGACGGAGGAGCTGGCAGATGCCAGCCAAGGTTTATGTGCAGGAGAAACCGAGGCACAGATGTCACAAACCCAACCTCCAAACACAGAATTCAGGGTGTGCTTTAGCACAGGGATGTTCCTGGGTCTCCCTTCTGAGCTCCAACACCTTTCTCCTCCTCCTCCTCCTCTAACAAAATCAGTACCAAGCAAAGCCATGGTAGAGAAGACAGCAGCACAGATTTAGGTTCAAGGATAAGCAAAGCCCAGGCCTCCAGATGCCAGGCACAAGCCTAGCTAAACGCTTCCCACAGAGGAAAATAAAAATAAAGAGGATTTAAACTCCCCCTCTCTGAACTAATGCAAACGCATGTACATGCAAAATGGGCCTCTGCTCCTGCTTATCTGGAGACACTGCAGACAGCTCAGGTTTAGCACTGCTGACAGGCAATGAAACAGCCTAATATACCACTGCTCTCACCCTTAAATCCCTTTTTGGAGATGCAGATAAACACACAGCTCCTTCTCTGTGCGCTGCAGCCCTTCCAGCAGAGCCTGGGGCAGGGGCAGATCCCAGATCGGGGGGGTATGGAGGATCATGGAACCCCAGAATGGTCTGGCTGGGACCTTAAACTCTTCCCATGAAGGAATTCTTCCTCATGCCCAACCTGAACCTCCCCTGGCAGAGCCTGAGGCCATTTCCTCTTGTGCTGCCATTTGTTCCCTTGCAGAAGGCTTCCAAAACATTCCAAAGTACTTGGGCAGCGTTGCCAACACTGAGTTCGTCTCATCTTCAAAAAACCCATTAGGAAAGCACATTTCTTGTTATTTCAGAGGATCTTTTGGCAAGCACAAGCAGAGCCAGGATTCCAACAGCCTCTGAAGGATGGTCCTCAACAGGCTCATAGGCCCATCACGTGCATATTAATAATTTTCCAGCACTCCAACCCACGCTGAGCAGCTGCTTTCTCCTCTCAGAACCTGGGCTGCTGGAGAGTTGGGACTTTCCCTGCAAAGCTGGGCTGGCTGAGGGCTGGGCTGGCTCATCTGTTTCACCCAGGATGAAAGATCTGAGAACATGACAGCTTGGAGGGCTTGAATGGGAATCATTATGTAACATAAGTGCTGTTATTATTCCAAGCATATCATGTGTTCATATCAAATATAAGTGCCAGATTTTTATCCAAATAATTCCAATAATTGCAATTCCCTTCCCACAATTTATATTGTCTGCCAGGAACACGAAGCAGAAGAGGCATATGCACGTCCTATAAATAGCCTATTTTTCATAAACAGGCAGAAATGATGGGAATGAATGTCTCATCAGAAAAAAAACGTAGGAACACAATGCAGGAACTTCAGACCTGACTGCTATTATGTGCAGTCAAGCCTCGACAGAGCTCAGTGCTCATTTCCAGCTCTTCCCCCGCACGGATCCTGCATTAGAGGGGGAAAAGCAGCAAGAGGGAAGAGAGCCCAGCTGAGCACAGAATGCACAGCCCCGTGCTGGCAGTGGGAGCACAGACAGCTCCTCTCTGCCCTTCCAGCACTGCTAATCCCTGGCTCTGTGCAGTTCCTGCACTCGGAATTTACGAGCGTGCGGTGGGGGACCCTTCTGACTTGGGAACAGATTGGCTCGGTCTAATGCTTGGAGATTATTAAAGGCAGAGCTATACTCCACTATCAAGTCTACAGATCTTTTATTTAGAAGATATGGTGCTCTAAATGCACAAAGAGCTCCCTGTCACCTTCACATTAAAGCCCCTAGTGCCTGGTAAATGGAATTATATAGCTGTCATCTCCTTTCCCCAAAGTTTTAAGAGTACAATGGGCTCATTTTTTCCCACTCCATCCCAGCTTCAGAACTAAGAGACCTACTTTGTATTGATTTAGAGTCTCGGAAATAAATAAACCTGCTTCTCCAATGTGATTCACAAGAAATTCATGATACACTATTGCATGATATATTTCAAGCTGCAGCTCCGGCTCTTTTTTCCCTTTGGTGAGTGATGGGGGAGGTGGGAGCTGGGGGGAGGTGGGGAGCTGACAGCCTGATGGTTATTGGGGATGGCTCCTGACTGCAAATCCACGGGCAGGTCCTGCTGGTGGAGTCTTCCCCTGCTTCCACTTGGTGAGATCAGAGGGGGAAGGGGCAAAAAAGCAACTGCACCTCACCTGGCAGGGAGCAGGGCAAGGAGCAGCCAGGGGCCCATGGACCTGCAGCTCCTGCCTGGAGAGCCCAACCCTCCTCACAGGTACCCAGGGAGCAGAGCTCCACAGCTGGTCTCACACACACAGGAGGTTCTGTCTGTCTGTCTGTCTGCCTGTCTGTCTGTCTGCAGCACCGCACAATTTCGGTGGGAAGGTCTTCCCACCTTGAGGTTACTGAGGAGGATTTGGGAAAACTTCTGGGTTGCAGCAGAAAAATCAGGCTTTGCAATCTTGAGAGCTGAACTACAAACTTGAGATCAGACAGGCTTCAAATGACCTCTAAAATATTTGCTGTACGTATTAAAAATAAAAATTAATTTAGGAGGAAAATCAGCTGGGAAATAAAAACTGAACAACTTTTCCTTCGACCCAAAAAATTCCTAAGGAGGAGCTCATCCAAACTGATACTTTTTCCTGAAGAGCTCCAGATTCAGTGAAGTGGCATTTCCAGATGAAAAATGTCTTGTCAAAACCCTCGTGCCCCTCTCTCCTCTCCCTGCGTGTGTTTTGCTCAAGGTCACTCCCTCAGTCAGTGGTAAATCAAAAGGACTCAATAGACTTTGCAAACTAAAATTACAGCCCCTCTTCTGCATGGTGCCAACGCCCATAAATCCCACCTGTCTCAGCCAGGGGTTCCCTAATCTAGATATGAACCCCATAAACAATATTAATGGTTGTCTCCAACGTAAAGATCTTGGTCATTCCCTCTGTCACCTTCTGGACCCCAGAGAACCTTCTGGACCCTGTTACTCAGAGATCCCTGGGGCACAGGCTGCAGTGCAGGGACCTTTGCACCAGGACACTGAAACTCTGCTCACTTTGCACTCTGAGTTTAGGTTCAGTCATGAGAAACGCCCCAGTTCTCCAGTGCTGTTCCTGCAGTTCCCACCATGTGTCCAGAATCACAGGGAATTTCTGCAGAAAACACCCCAGGCTGGTCACCCAAATGTCCCCCTGGGGACAGCCCAGGAGGGATGGTCTGGACCAAAAATTCTGGGATATTTTTGCAAAGTTCAGCTCCTGTGGAACATTAGGGAGCAGAGTTAATGCTCCAGTGAGAACACAGCCTGCAGGATCCCCAGGAGCTGGGACACAGTGCTGGGGAAGAGCTTTGGACAGGCAGAAGATGGGCCATGATGGTAAACTCCTGTTCAGCAGAATTTAACACACACAGAGCCCCCACCCACACAGATAAACTGAGCTAGATCTGTATTAAAAATGATAGAAGGAGGGAGAATTAAAAAAGTCAACAGAAATCTATTAGACTTTCCTCCCTAAGCAAACACCAAGGGACTGATAATGGCATGCCTGGAACGTAAATTGTCTCTAATGGGAACAATACACAGATATCACCACTTAAAGAAAGGCAATTAAAACAAAAATGCAGCCACGGAGGGTGGTGGTTGTTCATCTGCACTGAGGCCAGGCATCCATCCTGCTTGGATGGATAGAGCAAGGACCTGTGTGTCACCAGCAGTGCCACCAGCCCTGTGTGTCACCAGCAGTGCCACCAGCCACACCCTGCAGCACCTCAAGCCTCTCGTGGCAGCAAAGAAAGGAATGAGCCTGAATTTGGAATTTGCTGGGTCTGGGCCATGGTGGCCCCCATCAGGGACACCTCCATGGCTCTGGCAGCTCTGGGAGCTGGAGACCACAACCTCCCCCCTGAGCCCAGCCTTGTGCTCAGCACCCCAGGCAGGGCAGGGGGGCCTGTCCTGCTCCCCAGGACTGGGATAACCTTGGGCAGCCCCAGCCTCCACACAAGGAGCCAACCCTCGATGCTGGTGAGTGTTCACTT